TGAGTGATCTTGAACAAGGTGCTTTACTTCTCTGGGCTTCCATTGCCTCATACATAAGATAGAAAGGAACTGGGGTTAAAAAAAAAAAAAAGGAAAGACGTCAGCTGCTCTTGGGGAGCTCGACTTGGAGTATTAGGGAGAGAGGACTGGTTGAGATGGAAACTTTAAACCCAGGTGACTAGGCATTACAGGAGTGCCTCTGGGGAAATGGCTCTATGTACAAACCAGGCTGCTGCGTTGCCAGGTTACCATGGTGGTTTGTACCTACGCCACTGCAGTCCAGCCCGCAATGCATAAGGAAGATGGTACTGAGGCTACCTGAGGAACCAAGAGATTTTCCAGAGAGATGAACCACAGCAGCAATCCAAAATACTGGGTTTTCCGGTTTTCTCTCAAGGAGAGGATGATGATAATAACAAAAATCCACATTAACTGAGAACTTACAACATGTCAGGCACTGCTTGAAGTGCTTCATCTGTATTCTCATTTAATGCTCATATCAACCATGTAAGATATGCATATTATTATTTCTATCTATACTTTATAGCTTAGGACATAGAGCTAAAATAACTGACCTGCAGTTACCTGGTTGATAACTAAGAGCCAGGTAATGTTAAAAAAAAATCCCCCCACCCTTTAATATTCTGGAAAACAACAGGACTTATATCAAGGAAGTGACCAACACTAAATGATTTGCTTTGCCTGTTAACTTCAGTTTCCCCTTCCTATCCTCTCCCTTCATATCCTCTGGGTCTCCACAGGATCCAGGTGGCCTTATCATAAAAAAAAATAATCTGAGCAAACTGGCCCTAATTGCAACCTTGGTACCTCACTCACTCAGCCTCCCCTCCTCCACCTCAGCTTTCCCTGAAAAAGCTCACAGTCCCGCGCCTCAGTGCAGCGGAGGCCCGACAAAATCCAGGCGTCCTCCTCTCTCCTCTCACTGCAACGGTTCCCTCTCTCCTTTACAGTGCTCCTTCCTCCCTTTCATTATTCCTTTTCCCCCTCTTGCAACTTCATTTTGAATGAAAATCTTCCTTGGCATGTTTTAACATGATCCAGTGCAATTTTTTTTCTTTGACAAGAACCCTAAGAAGGGAAAAGGATATTCTTAGGATAGGCAGAATGAGAGCTCAAAAATACTTCCTTTGAAAATGTAAAAGAATATAATTTTATTTTAGATTTTAAGCTGGTATTACAGGACTTATTGTTCATATCTATAAGCAATAATAACAAAAACAATACCAAAATGTGTTTTTTAACCAAGGTAAAAGAAGATCACACATTTTAAAAGCAAGTGATTCTGACGGTGCGGTGTAGTAAGTTGCACAGTGTGCCTTTTCTAGCCATAGTCTTTGGAAACTCCATGGTAGAATTTGCTGTGAGCAGCTGAGTAGCTCCTGATTGTTAAAGATATCCACCTGGGGTATTTCTGTTGGAAGCAGCAGAGAAGTACTTTTCTGGGAAGTTTGCTCTCTCACAGGTGTGTAGAACTCTGATGTTGGGATTGGTTGGTTTTGGCCACTCTGAGGCAGAGGGAATCTCTCACTGCTGGCTGTTTTGACAACTGCATAAGGTTATGCAATAAAACATAATCATGACATAGAACTTTCAATCATCACAAAGTTCCCCTGTGCTCTTCGGGCCAATCCTTCCTCCAACTCCCTGACAACCACCACTGTGCTATCACTATAATCCTGCCTTTTACAGAATGTCATATAAAGGCCATGATACAGAATGCAGTCTTTCTGTGTGTAGCATGTTTTTCACCTAGCATTAACACTTTTTAGATTCATACATGTTATTCTACGTATCTATGCTGGGCATAGATATGCTGGTACTATACAGACATACCACAATTTGTTTATACATTCACTAGTGCTGCTAATGGATAGTTGTGTTCTATCAGTTAGGGGCCATTATAGAGCTAATGCTGTTATGAACATGTAAGAACAAGTCTTTGTGTGGACACGTGTTTCGTTTCTCTTGGGTAAATATTTATGAGAAGGGCTTAGATCATATGGTAGGTGTGTATTTAAGAATCTATCAAACTATCTTCTAAAACAGCTGTACCATTCTGCATTCCCACCAGCAATGTATAAGAGTTCCAGTAGCTCTACATCTTTGTCAACGTTTGATATTGTTGGTCTTTGTAATTTAACCCATTAAAGTATTATGAAGTGGGTTTTAATTCGCATTCCCCATTTCATATACTTATTGGCTATTTATACAGCTTCTTTGGTGAAGCATATGTTCAAATCTTTCACCATTTTGAAAAATTAGGGTGTCTTCTTACTACTAAGTTATAAAAGTTCTTAAATATTCTGAATACAAATCCTTCATCAGAGTTACATTTGGCAATATTTTCTTCAAGTCTATGGCTTGCTTTTTCATTTTCTTAAAAGCACTGTTTAAAGAATGAAAGTTTCTAACTCTGATGAGAATTAACATTTTTTCTTTTATAGTTTGTGTTTTTTGTGCCCTGTTGGGGAAAAAAAAAAAAAAAAACTTTGCTTAATTCAAGGTCACAGCATTTTCTTCTAAAAGCTTTATCTAAAAGTTTCGTAAGAGAAAAATCTCATCAAATTTTTTAACAAGATTTTTTTTAGATTCCTGCATTCCATTAGTCTCATAATTATTCCGTTTTATTATCCCTTTGTTTCTTTCCAATTCAACCTGCCACATTACCAAGCACTAATTAAGTTAGTCTATTTCTGAATTTGGAACGCCTTTTACCTTTTAATGGATCCCTCTCCCAACTTTAGACCTAATAAATGACATTTCTAACGTTTGCCACAGTTTTAGTCCCTCGATTCTCTTCAAAATGACAAAAAACCTCTGTACTCCTGATGCTGTTTCTTAAAAAACCAACAACAAAATTCCACAATCATAGCACACACCTTAGGTTAAGCCCAGTTTTGAAGAAAAGCTTTTGTAAGGTCATTCTCACTGTACTGAGTCACTCTTATCTATGAGGAGGCTGGAGAAAGTGATCGTTTTATTACTTGCTAAATAAAAACTTAGGCTTATAAAGGTTAGGCTGATCAAGATAATGACTGGCAAAGCTAAAAGGAATTCTACATTTCTTGACTCCATCTGGATTCTCCCTACTGCACCATTCTCTTTAAAACAAGCCAGAATATGCAGAATCAAAATTAAATGAATAGTGTATAGGAAACACAGCTTATATTCAACTGTCACTTCGAATAAACTTTTTGCCATTCTTGTCACAGTTCACAGAAGGAAAAAAAAAGATTCACAAATGAAACAGGTAGAACAAGTGGCAATTCATCATGGTTCATTTTGTAACTTTGTGGAACGTTCTAGGGAAAAATAAAACAGAAAACTGACTCATCTATGTCTACATCACATTCTTTCCCCTAAATCAAGAAAATCTCAGCTTTCATTTACTTCCTCTTACCCTGATGATTTTTCCTATATTCAAAACTGACTCTACTGTGCTCATGATCCAGATTTAGGGAAGGCCCCTGTGTTCCTGAACCATGGCAGCTTTTGTGACCCTACGCCATGGAATCTTTGTTTTAACAGGAAAATACTGAAATGAATTCTCTGAACCTGACAAGCCGTCTCCCTCAATAAGTCTAGGAAGTTGTTATTTCATTAACTGTGCATGAAGTGGCAGGCAATCAGCCAGATCTGCAGCCCAGTCAGGTGGGACTGAAGTTGTCCCACATAAAAGGAACAAAATTTCTAGCTCTGCTAGCATCCATTACTTTCAATTCTATTCTTATTTTTAAACAACAGTGATTATTTATATAATCCGAAGGAAGAGCAACCTTAAATGAGCATTCCATAGTGCTTTGTTTGAGATTCCAAGAAGAAAAACTCAACTAGTCACAGAAATGGCAACTCAAAATGGCTCTGTTCAAAAGAAGAAACTCAGCATTCAGGTATTAGAAACAAAATTTCTGTTGACCTAATAATCACTGTTATGCAACATGTAGGAGCTCTGGTGGCATAGTGCCTAAGGCACTTGACTGCTAACCAGAAGGCTGGTGGTTCAAACCCACCAGCCACTCCTTGGAAGGAAGGCTGGGCAATCTACTTCCGTATTGATCTAGCCTCAGAAACCCAAGGAGGGGTCACTATGAGTCGAGTCCGACTCAACAGCACATAACAACAACAACATGAAATATGTATGAAACACCTATCAAGCTGGGCCCCCTGAGTAGAGCAAATAGTTAAGCACTCAACTACCAGCTGAAAGGTTGGCAGTTTGAACCCATTCAGGAACACCTCAGAAGACTGGCCTGATCTGCTTCCAAAAGGTCAAATGCTTGAAAACCCTAGGGAGCAGTTCTACTCTGTACACATGGGGTTGTCATCAGTAGGAAATGACTCTGTGTCAACTAGCAACATATGACAACTGATATGTGAGACCCTAAGAATTCCAGAATGAGTAAGATGGTCCCTAATCCCTTACATCCAAACTCACTGCCATCAAGTCGATTCCAACTCATACAGAGACCCCCCCACAGGGTTTCCAAGGCTATAAATCTTTACAGAAAAAGACAGCCTCATCTTTCTTCCGCAGTGTGGCTAGTGGTTTCAAATCACTGAACTTTTGGTTAGCAGCCATATGCTTTAACCACTACACCATCAGAGCTCCCTGATCCCTTATGTACAGTGTAGCAAAGACGACACATAAGTAAATAAGTGGTTACAGGTCTATATAGTAAAATCTATGCTTGAGGTAAGCATAGGGTATTATTAGAGCTCAGGATGGGGGTAATAATCAGGGTCAGCTCTTAGTTTCTCATCCGACCACCCTCCTGGGAGCAAAACCACTTCTACAGAATTAATAGCACTTCAGGAATCAAGGAATACCAAACAGTACCTATGCAATAATATTTATTCTCATGGTCAATGACTTTCACTCTTTAGGACTGGTCAGAGGAGATTACTGGACCACATACACAGCACGGAAAACACGCTTGTTGGAAATCTCCAACTATTTATCACAATTATACATGGTCTAAATGCAGTGTGGTATTCTGGATTGGGTCCTAGAACAGAGAAAGGACATTAGTGGGAAAGGCTGTGAAATCCAAGTAAGTTTGTAGTTTAGTTAATAGTATTTTATCAATGTTACTTTCTTAAATGTGACAAATGTACCATGGTTATACAAGATGTTAACAAAGGGCAAGTCAGGTGAAAGGTATACAGGCACTCCGTACTATCTTTGCAATTTCTCTAAACTCACTGCAAAATTTAAAGGTTTTTTTTTAAATTATATATAGTTAGTTCCCACTTCACATTCTCACTCCCCCTCAGGACTCTGATCATGTCTTCCCAGTCACCAATTCAGGTTATACTTGGCTAAAATGGTTTTTTAAATCCTTTTCAGTACCTTTCTATAAACCATTTACACAGCCCAGTTGGGTTTCCTTCTTCACCAAGACATGAAAAACTAGACCATACCTGAAAGGTTTCAATTGTTCTCTCTTCCTAATAGCTTCACCTTCTATAGCAGGGAGGTATCCTCAGAGTTTAACTTCCCAAAGTAGACAAGAGAGGACTTAAAATAACCCAGGCTGGAGAACAGAAGGACTGTGTATACACAGGGAGACAGCTCAGGGGGAAGGAGTGCATGCAAGGGAAGGACACAGGGAAGAGGTGGCTATGGGAAGGAAGTGGGAAGAGAGCTGTTGCATTGTGAGAGATTACAGTCAATGTCATAAGACAAAGTGTATGTGAACTGCTGTAGGGAAGATAAATTTACTCTGTAAACTTTCACCCAAATCACAATAAAACAAAAATAAGTAACCCAGGCTGGATCTCTGGATAAAAGCAAGGAGACATAAAAAATGTAGAGTATACACTATTAGATTAAGGAACCCTGGTGGCACAATGCTTAAATGCTTAGCTGCTAACCTAAAAGTCAGAGTTCAAACTCATTAGCAGCTCTATGTGAGGAAGACCTGCCCATCTACTCCCTTGAAGATTTCAGCCTAGAAAACCTGATGGGGCAGTTCTAGGCTGACATACAGGGTTGCTAAGAGTCAAAATCAACTCAATGGCACACAATAACAACCACACGTTATTAGATTACTTTTACCTGATCTCCGGCTACAAAATACAATGAATAGAAAATACCAGTAACAGATATTAACTATTAGCAGCATATTAACCCCCCACCATTCATCTGTTACTTTATCCTATTGTGGTGGCCTGTGTGCTGCTGTGATGCTAGAAGCTACGCCACCGGTACTTAAGGGACCAGCAGAGTCACTATGGTGAACAGGTTTCAGCAGAACTTCCAGACTAAGAGACTAGGAAAAAGGATGTGACCAGGTCCACTTCTGAAGAAGAAAAAAAAAATTGGCCAGTGAAAACTTTACCAATAGCAAGGAATCACTGCTTGATATAGTGCAGAAGATGAGCCCCTCAGGCTGGAAAGCACTCAAAACATGACTAGGGAAGAGCTGGTTCCTCGAGGTGGAGACAACCTTAATGACACTGATGGAGCAAAGTTTTGGAACCTTCATTTTGTTGACGTGACATGACTCAAAGTAAGAAGGAACAGCTGCAAACATCTGTTAATAATTGGAACGTGTAATGTGCAGAATATGAATCTAGGAAAATTGGAAGTTGTCAAAAATTAAACGGAAAGCATAAAGATCAGTATCCTTAGGAATCAGCGAACTGATACAGCTATTTTGAATCAGACAATCATGGTCCACTATGCTGGGAATGACAAATTAAAGAGGAATGATATCACATTCATAATCAAAAAGAACATTTCAAGATCTATCCTAAAGTACAATGCTGTCGGTGATAGGATAATATCTTTCAAGGAAGACCAGTTAATACTACGATTCTTCAAATATACACAACAATCACTAAAGCTAAATATGAAGAAACTGAAGATTTTTACCGACTTCTGCAGTCTGAAATTCACCAAATATGTAATTAAGATGTATTGATAATTACTGGTGATTGGAATGCGAAAGTTGGAAACAAAGAAGCAGCACTGGGAGTTGGAAAACAGGGTCTTAGCAATAGAAATGATATCAACAATAGCATGATAGAATTTTGTAAGAACAATAACTCATTCATTGCCAATACCTTTTTCCAATGACATAAATGGTAACTATAGAAGTGGAACTTGCCAGACAGAATACGATCAAATTGACTACATCTGCACAAAGAGGTGATGGAGAAGCTCAATATCATCAAACAGAACAAGGCCAGGGGCCAACTGTGGAACAGATCATGAATTGCTCAAATGCAAGTTTAAGCTGAAGGTGAAGAAAAATAAAACAAGTCCATGATAGCCAAAATACAACCTTGAGTATATCCAACCTGAATTTAGAGACCATCTGAAAATTTGACACACTGAACACCAATGACTAAAGACTGGACAAGTTGTGGGATAACATCAAAGACATTATACATCAAGAAAGCAAAAGGTCGTTAAAAGGAAGAGAAGACCAAAATGGATGTCAGAAGAGAATCTGAAACTTACTCTTGAGTGGAGAGTAGCTAAAGCGAATGAAGAAATGATGAAGTAAAAGGTGAACAGAAGATTTCAAAGGGCAACTCAAGAAGACAAAGTAAAGTATTATAATGAAATGTGCAAAGACCTGGAGTTGGAATATCAAGGGAGGAGAATATGCTCAGCATTTCTCAAGATGAAACTGAAGAATTAACCCTAGAGTAGAGATACTAAAGGATTCTATAGGCAAAATATTGAACAACTCAGGAAATATCCAAAGAAGATGGGAGGAATACAGAGTCACTGTACCAAAAAAGAATTCGTTGATGTTCAACCATTTCAGGAGGTAGGAGATGATCAAGAACCGATGGTATTAGACGAAGAAGTCCAAGCTGCACTGAAGGCACTGATGAAAAAGAAATATCCAGGAATTGATGGAATACCCACTGAGATGTTTCAACAAACGGGTGCAACACTGGAGGCACTCACTCTTTCATGCTAAGAAATCTGGAAGACAGCTATCTGGCCAACCAACTAGAAGAGATCTGTGCCCAGTCCAAAGAAAGGTGATCTAACAGAATGAAGAAATTATCAAATCGTACCATTAATATCACACAAGTAAAATTTTGCTGAAAATTCAAAATGGTTGCAGCAGTACATAGACGGAACTGCCAGGAATTCAAGCTAGATTCAGAAGAGGATACGCAACAGGGGATAACATGGCTGATGTCAGATTGATCTTGGCTGAAAGCAAAGAATACCAGAAAGGTATTTACCTGTGTTTTATTGACTATGCAAAGGCATTCAACTGTGTGGCTTATAACAAATTATTGATAACACTGAGAAGAATGGGAATTCTAGAACACTTCATTGTGCTAATGAGGAACCTGTACATAGACCAAAAGGCAGTCATTTAAACAGAACAAGGGCAAACTATATGGTTAAAAATCAGGGAAAAAATAACAAATGTTGGCGAGGCTGTGGAGAGACTGGGACTCTCATACACTGCTGGTGGGACCGTAAAATGGTACAATCATTGTGGAAAGCAGTATGGTGATTCCTTCAAAAGTTGGAATTAGAAATACCATTTGACCCAGCCATCCCATTACTAGGTATATACCCT